CTGATTAATTATCTATTACTTATACTACAGTACAGTACGATTTTTAATTTGATACAGTACTGATTTACCTATTACTCTTCAACAAATAACACCTTATTATCAATAGTACAGTACATTTATTCTGATGATTATAACTTTTCCATACATATATAATACATACATGTTAACTATCATTTTTCAATTTAACCGACATCAACAATATTGCTTAAGTTTTTTAAATTTACCGATGTTTTCAAAATCACAAAAGTCACTAAATTACGTGTCAAAATTATTTCAAATAACTGAAAAGAATAACAGAATTAATTGTTTTTTTCAAACTTCATATTTCATAAATTCTGCCTTAATAAAGCTTTCGAAATATGTATTAAAATATTTTTTTAGCAATAAAATAAGTAAAAAAAATGATATAATTATTCCACAAACTCTAGTATAAATCTTTCTGATCAGTAGGTGTCGTTTGTCATATCATGCAGGTTACATGAATAAATAAACATGAGAATAATCGGTAACGAAAATAAATTATTATTTATTTGGCTATATACATAAACATGATTTGAGAGTTAAGTGTGAGACATAAAAATAAAATCAAGACAAAAATACAAGAACGAATACAATCATTAAAAGAGTTCTAGAAGGAAAGATTTTATAAGAATTACTTACATTTTGAGATAAAACACGAGGTTTAAGAGAACCTTGATAAACAGAAACTGGCTGTTTATCAGCAGTAGTAGAATTAATAAATTCAAACCATAACTTTTCACCGTCTTCTTGAATCCAAATATGTAAAAACCCCCTGGTTCCCTCAGCACCGCCACCAGGCATGAACCAACTAGCACCATCACAACCCTCAAATTGGGTTTTACTACCGGCTCCGGTAGTAAAATAGGCAACATGAGATGTTGAATTAACGTCTTGATATTCAAGTTTGTGAACGTGACCGGCAAGATAAGCTGACACATTATATTTTTCAAAAAGGGGTGGTAATCTAGACATATAATAAATAGAAGAACAATTACCAGCTATTAAGGGATGATGTCCAACAACAAAAATCCATTTAGAATCTTGAACATTTATAAGTTGTTGTTCTATCCATTTTATCTTTGTTTCAATTGCATCAGATGTATATAAACCTAATGCTAATAAGGTCCCTTTTAAGTTATCAGTATCTGTTAGATTATCATAAGGGTAATAGAAGGGATCTGTGTCGATATGAATAAACGATACTTTAATTTTTTTAGATCCAAATGTTACGGTACGTACGTAATAAAGTGATGGAAAGAAGAATCGTTGATCTATTTCCCAAAAGTAGTCAACTTCCGCTGTTACGTTTGTATACCTATTATTAATAATTGAAATTGTTTGTTATAGTGTGCTAATTTTTTTTTACGAAATAAAAAATGCGACTAGAAAATTTAGAAGAAATTTTTGAAAAGATTTAACAAACCAATCATGATTTCCTGCAACGGTATACCAAACAAGTTCTTTTAATTTACCACCATAAACATCAAGCCAACTAGACTTCCATTTAGGATCATAAATTGAATTAACTCCTTCGTGATCTGATGCATTACTTGTATAAAAATTATCTTTTTAAGCAATATAAATAATATAAATATGTATTTATGTTATTTTTTTTAATTTTATTAGATCTCATAATAAGAAAAATTTTGAATGATCTGATAAAATACCACCAAGAGAAAGAATAAACGTAGTATTATTGTTATCTGCCCAAATTTTCATTGCTGACGCAACAACTGATTGTCTAGTGTCGCTTCCTTGATATCCCCAATCACCAAATGCTAAGAAATCCAATTTATTAATTCCTGGATACGTTTCTTCAAAAATTGTTGAATATGGTTCTGCAATACTAGCATTTGGCCTTGTATAATTTCCATGACAATTTATTATCAAAAAACTTGCTTGGACAAAAATTAAAAAAATTCCCTTCTTTAAATTTTTCATTTTTTTTTTTTATTTTAACAAATTATATTAAGAAATTCAAATAAGTTTTATTAAAAGATAGAACGTATGTAAAACGACTCCTTTTGTGAAGAGTGAATTCATATATCGATATATATATGAGTGACGAAAGGGGAAAACCTGTAATTCTAAAAATAGATTATTATGAATTTTATAATAATCTACTTTGGAATTACAGGAGGTTTTCCCTTTCCGTCACTCATATATAGATATTATTAATGCACTTAATCGAACAGGGGTTGTACTGATCAACCCGTTCGATAACCCGACCCCATTTGATTACTGTAGTACATCTGATTGCTCAGGTTAATTGGACGTATGTAATTACATAAATAAAAAAATAACTGCAACATTGAGGATAACACCCACTGGTTAACTTGTCCTGCAAATCAAACAACTCTGCACCAACTTACAAGTGATACAATAACAAAATACGTCAACAAGCATGATCTCAAGCCACCTGACTCTTCAATGTTCATATGCACCTTCTTCACAACCAACACTCACTCACCAAACAACTTGCTACTACAAGGACTTATCTCAAACAACATTCGTCGCCAGTTCACCACAATTCCCAACGGCACCTTCATTTAACTACTTCACAAAATATCTACCAGCATCTACAGGCACATATGGACAGAACGTTGCAAGTCTACACATCATCAGAACAGGAAACTAGATACAACCATTACTATCCCGCCACACCACCTCTACTAACCATATTAGCATAGTCAAATATAACAAATGAACAGACATATTCCTCGTTACTACCATAACCACATCCTACATTGTAACACTAATTCTAGCGGAGGCCTGTTAGCCCACTCTAGTAAAGTTTTGGGCAGAGGATAAATTAGTCCTAGGTTCCTGTAATAATTCATGTAATCCATTTTAAACAATGTAACGCATAATTATTCAATAAAGAGCCAGGCCTCACTCTTAAAAAAAATAAATTAAAAAATAAATAAATTAAAAATAAACTATCGCTACGTAATATTGGGCAATTAATAAAAGAAAAAAAGCAAATAAAAATTAAAGCAAAAGAAATTGTTCTTATTTATCATTATAGTAGCGTGTGACTATATTTTTAAAAATGTCGAATAAACTTTCTCAATTAGAACTTGAACTTACTTCTACCAAACTGACCTCCAACCATTAATACCCGGAAATCGCATGGCAAAAATAGATTAGATTGCTAAAGCGTAAAGTCATCAGAATATTAATCTATTAATTCTTATCGTATAGCTTTATTTAGAAAATTTTAATTTTTAAATTCTATGGTCAATTTACATATAAACTTTGCATAATATTTTAATCAATACCAAATGCAAAATAGTATTGTTTATTTGAAAGATTCGCAAATTTGCAAACTCGGGTCATAACCTGGGTTAGTTACGAGATGGCTCCAAATCCGACCCGACCCGATTGTAAGGAACACTAGACATTATGTAGTATTCGTGCAACAAGATAATTAAAAATCTCCCATTTTACAGTATAATTATGGTTTTAGTGCTACAAATTAATATGTGTCAATTCAATCGCATAATTAAATATTAATTAAGTGTCGATCTCTTTTTATTATATATCACTAATTTAAATATATGCATTTTCCTACGTACTGCTTTCCTGAAATAAAAAACTTTCTCAATTAATAAATAAATTAATAAATAGAACATGTAAAATGTAATCTTTACACTAATCCTTGTTTGTTTATATTATTTTACCAGGAAACAGGTTTTAAATTCAGGTTGTGTAAACATTATCTGACCAGATTGGAAATATACCCCCGTATGCAACACAAAATGCAATAAAACACATGTTTCAGTGCTTTAATTCATTGGTAAAATACTGTATAGTGACGTGTTTGTAATTATAATTTTACATGCATAAAATACAGTACATATCGATATAAAAATTTGTTACTTTTAACGTTATAGGGGCTAAACTTGTTAATAAGAGTATATGAGTGACACCAAGGGAAAACCCGACCCTAGACTTTTAAGTTTATTACTGATCGGACTCAGCTAACCAAATTTATCAGGAGTTGAGTCCGATAAAAAAGGGTGTATAATAAATTAGTACAGTATGGTTATATAAGTTAGTATGTACGGATATGAAAAAGATTATACTCAGACATACGTTTACAAATTTAATGCATAACCGATAATTCAATTCAAATAATTTGATTTGAATATTTGGAGTATGGCCAATAACAGATAAGAAATAATCGTACAAAATATATGACTAATTCCTATTTGTAACACATTCATCACTCAACTTATTAGTTACATCCTCAAATATTTAAGTTAAATGTAATGATTGATTTTATATTTCTTTTAGTAACAATTTAACTTTTTATTCGATTGTTACAAAAATAGATAATATATTTGACATCGAAGAATTTTAATTTGACCAAGTAAACCCTGATTTCAAAGAAGTAGATATATAAATTGTTTTAAAATGAGTTTGTGTTCATAAGTTTATCGAAAAGCATCGGTATGACTGGACATGTAGTTGGATAAATGCCGGCTAGCCAAAGGTGCCGGAAATAAATTCAA